TGTATGTGTGTATGTACATATATATATACACATACATACATGTAGGTATGTTCTACCGAAGGCACCTCAACAAAACAACAAATAACAAGGACCCAGATTCGGAAAGTCAAGGCTGTGTGTGGAGCAACGGCGGCGACGAGCAGCTGCAGGGGGCCCGGCGTGAGAAGCGCGGTCCAGCGCGGAAGCTCCGTCGCACCGGCTGCTAGGAGGATGAAGGTGAAGATGCATCCTCCGGGGGTTTTAGTGTTTAAAGTTTAGGATTTGAGGGTCTAAGTACCTAATTACAACCATAAACATGCACATGTTATGGATTTCTGTACATCTCGCCTGGAAGCATGGCAATCTCCCCCACAAGACGGCAAATAATCTCAAAGAACGGCTGGAAGTCTGCAGAGAGGCCCGCTGGTACAACATGTCCCCGTGCAGGGGCACTTGCAAGGAGGCCCACAAAAGTAAAGGAGCAATGCATCAAGGCACCAGCCACATAGAATGCGAAGAGCAACAGAACCAAGGGCCAGCGAAGCCATCTGTACTGAGGCTTCAAGACCTTGTAAAGTAAGCAGGTACCTGCAAAGCCACTTGGGATAAAGATCAGCGCCAACACATGTCCTGCCGCAAGCTCCCAAGTTGTCTTTTCCGCCATCATGACAGAAGCCTTGCGAAAGTCGAGAATGTCGCCAGGTGTGTGGAAGAGCTGATCCAACTCTGGACGAGCACTGTAGCATGTCAAGACGTCTGCAACATGTGCCAGAATGCCAGCACAACCTGCAAAATAACTTGATGCAAGCACCACGTCCAATCCCATGGCCACGAGTCTCAAGCTACTCTAGCCGTCTTTCTTTCTTTGGTCTCCCTGCACTCTAAAGCAAGCTTCAAACCTCGAACGAAAACAGAAAGCATGCTTCGTCCATGATCTGGAGGAAGTGGCGGGTGTAGATTATCCTAAACGCCACAGTTTAGGATTTAGGGTTAAGGGTTCCAAGTCTAGGTCTGCACACACCTTATTTAGGATTCCTTATCTTTGTGATTCACTTCTATAAGTCCTCAGAATGCCGATTTTGGGAGAGGAGTGGGTCAGGCTGTGGCTTAAGCTAGGGCGATCAATTCACTCATCCTCTGCATGGATTCTATGATGCCTTGTTCTTAGGTCTGACTGCTTGAAACCCTAAACCCTAAACCGTCTGACTTGCTTGAAGAGTAGGCGGTAGTCCGGACCTAGACCTAACGCCAAACCCAACACTCTGAAGCTTTGACCTGAATGGCAGTACCTCCACTCGGATAACCTGTCTTGTAGGGTTTAGGGTTTAGGGCTTAGGGTTTAGGGTGTTCCTTATGATGCAGACCTCTATCATTAGGTGCAGGCCAGGCTACGTCGGAATGCCAGGCACGATAGCGCCTGCAATGCAACGCGAGACACGCATTGGAATATAGGGCTTCTTACAGTTTCGTGACGCGCATCTTCGAAGCAGGGCTCTAAACAATAGACCCCAACTCCTACCCTCCCAACCCTAAACCTTAAACCCTAAACCCCTGAACCCTAAACCAAACCCCTAAACCCTTTAAACAATAGACCCCAAGGCCCAAAACCTGAAAAACTCCTGCAGACTCTGGGATTTTGGGAGTGGCTCCGAGCTTGAACCCTGCCAAGAGTGCAAGACTTCGGGGTAAAGGTGCCATACGCTTTTACTGCTGTTTAGGGTTTAGGGTTTATGGTTTCTGGCTTCCCCTTTATCCTCAAAGGACTCGCATTTTCAGGCTTTCGGGCTCAAGGACCCTATTCTGTAAGGCTTTTGGGCTATTTTGATGCTAAGGCTTCGGGTGTACACAGTTTAGGGGAAAGTTCAACCTCGACCTTGGCAGCATGCTAGACCACGGTTTAGGGCTTAGGGTTAAGTGTCTGCGCCTCTCAGACTCTCAGATAAGATCAGCAACCTACCTATAGTCTCCATTGTAGCTTTTGGTTAACCAGTTCTATATGCTTGGATCCTACCCATAATACCCAGTTTAACTAACCAAGAAAGCAACTACCCTGGAGACTACAGGTAGTTTGGCATAGACCCTCTTGAAGTTGAGAAAGCTCAACAATGACCGAAATCCCAGAGGCTTGGTCAAAGAAGATCTACGCAAAACGACAAGGGTCCAAGGTTAAGGTTTAGGGTTGATTGTTGTTTTTTTGTCGCCCCCTTTCCTCTAGCAACTGTGCTTGCTGTTAGAATGCCTATCAGGGGTTGAGGGCTTAAGGCTTAGGGCTTAGGGTTTAGGATTATACTCAGCTACTAGTAGGCAAGCCGAGGATGTAGTGAAAACCGAAGATTCAAACCCTAAGAAGACGTTTTGTAACAGGTTATTACAGCATAACCATACAAAATACAAAAATTCCTAATTGTTTGGACACCTAAAGCAGCTAATCCAGCAACCCCAAAACGATCCAGGACGCAAGCTCCCAGCTCTAACGAGGGGAACAGAATTACATGTAAGGTTTAGACCTTACTTAATGGTAAAAGAACCACTTCAACTGCCGGATTTTGGAGGTGCAGGGTTCATGTTTCGGACGCTATGGTTCCAGCCGGATGGTGCAGCCGTGGCTTACATCAGACTCAGGCTCAATTAGTATCTACACGGAGGTCTAAAGACTAACAGATACAGTAGCACCAAGTCTGGATCATTTGAAGTCTTAGGGTTCAATCACACAAGGACAGGGGCTTGAGGACCACGAACATAGCGGAAGCACCCCGACGCAAATCTTGGGATGCAACAATAACAAGGAGACCTTGCAAAGCGGGCATGGCCTCACTGTCGTCTCGATCAGAGGCGAAGACTCCACCACCTGGTCATAATTATCGCTGTCCGGTGAGATATGGGTAGTTCTCTAAATTAGGGTCCCCACTTTTCGGTCCCCAATATAGTACGGCACCCGTATAAAAAGAGCCCCAAAAGGGACCCTAATTTAGAGAACTACCCATATGAGTTAAGCCGAAAGAAGCCTAAACACATCTGCCGGTATGGGCTATAGCAGTTGGCAAAACCGAAACCCTCAAACACAAACCTCTGACGTGTGCAGAACAGACACTGCTCACGCCTGACGATACAGTTCAGAAACGCTAGGAATTCCGGGTCAAGGTTATGGCTACCCTTGTCGGGACTTTTCCGTATGGACTGCTACCAGATGCGATCATGCTACAGTAGAAGTCCTGGATTCGAGATATGCTGTATGTAAGTCTGATTATGGTCACGCTACTACGTCCGCTGATGCTTGCATTTTGAATAGGTGGGTTGGCGTTTTCAGCGGGAGTGTCCGGAAATAAGCGTCCCTCGAGCTAGACCCCACAAAATCAGATCCCTGTTACAAGGATCCGGACGGATCCCCTAGTCTTAACCAGCCTTTTCACGGTGAATCTCTCTGGGAACGTTTACGGTGACGCTTAGCGAATGCTTCTAAGCCCTCACGAAACTCCCGTGGACCCTAAACCCTGCACCCTTACATTAAGCCTGAACCCGAACATCTGAACTGACTATGCGCGCACATGAAGTTTTAGGGAAGGAGCAAGGAGGATTAAAGTCTTAATACTTAAGCCCTCGCAACCCCCGAACCCTACCCCTAAACCCTAAACGCTAGCACCCTAGAGCCCTAAACCCTAAACCCTATAACCCTAGAACCCTAAACCCTAGAACCTCAGAACCCTAGAACCCTATGCAAAGAAATCACTTTTGGAGGGAGCAGAGTGGCCAGGTCCGCCAACTCTGCCAACGTTCTGCAGGGGTCGAAGCCTGAGGAACGCATTCGGTCTCATAGGGTTTAGACGGGTTTACGCTTACCCTCAAAGGACTCATATTTTAAGACTTTTGGGCCCGAACACACTATTATAATGAGGCTTCCGGTCTATGTTGATGCTAAGGGGCTTGGATGGGTTTAGGGTTTAGTTAGGGTTTAGGGCACTTTGGGTTTGAAAGTCGAATTGGAGGTTTGGGTCCGGGGTTGGGGGATCATCGAAAGTCAGCATTTTCAAGAATCAACCTCGCCGTTCTTGGTCATCTGGTTACCCACGAGTCCTTCGAACAACATACGGCTTTGGGTTTAGAACCCCCTCTAAATCCTACTGCAAGTATAAGTCCAGCCTCATGCACCCTTCTCTTCTTCAGCTACGTGAGTGAGGACGAAGGTGCTGTACCAAACCAGACCCTCACTGCGGGCTCCTGTGAACTCTGGGCTTAGAAAGATTGGGTCTAGGCTTTAAGGAATATTGAGTGTTGAGGATCCTACTGTTGGTCGTCTTAAGATTGGGGCTCCCTCTTTGATGAAAGGCAGATGCTAACAAATCCTAAACCCGAAGCCGCATAAACCGTATAAGCCCTAAACCCTATAAACCCTAAACCCTAAGCTCTATAAACCCTGAACCCTTCTGCAGCCGAGCATCTCTTGAGGTTGAACTGGGTCTTGAAGTTGGCATTACACCAGTCGCGCAGAGTAAGGCGCGTCACTCCCTTCTCCTGAGCGGACCCAGAGACTCCAAAACCCCTTAATTAAGGAATATACCTTAAATCTTATTAGGGTTCCTATTATAATTTAGGGTATATTCCTTACTTAAGGGGTTTTGGAGTCTCTGGGGAGCTGATTCTTCTTGGCGGGGGGGTTTTCCTGTGCTGCAAATCGCTGGAAGACGTGAGCTTAGATGCAATGGGGCTTAAGGCTTAGGGTTTAGGGCTTAAGGCTTAGGGTTTAGGGTTTAAGGCTTAGGGTTTAGGGTTTAGGGTTTAGCATACTTGACCTCAAAGCTGGTTCCCTGTTGGGGCTATAGTAAAAGTAGTCACTTTCAATTTTTACTGGGTCTTTATCATAACATAAATGTAAAATAGTATGCAACAAGGACCCAGAAAGCTTACATGGGCAACTGTTGAGGATGTTGTAGAATGTCTACGGATTTAGGTCTCTTGTGTTGTCGCTTTCTTGTTGGCTCCGGGGAAGGGTTTAGGACGTTCTGGCGCTTCCCGCGATAGGGTCTAGTCAAGTTCGGTCAACATACCAAAAGCTATCACCCAAAATCCGCAATCGGATCTGGTCCAACAGATGCAAAAGCGGAGGTCACGTAACACTTGGGCCCCAATGTTTTGACACTCGACCCCTGTTCTTAAAATGAGCTTTGGGTTACTTCTAACAGGGATCCTACTAGTGAAGGCTTTTGCTAGGGTCATGCTGTAATCCCAATGCCGTGTGCCCTCAGCCTGTAAACCACGAAGATGTGGCCCTGTCAGTCTAAGACCTGCATTTGAAGGCTCAACCATGCTGCCAGAACGAGCCCCTGAGAAGTAGGGTCAAGGCCAGTTCTCCCCAAGCCCTAAAACCCTGAACCCTAAACCCGAAAGGTTGCCAAGCCCTTCCTCCAAAGCTTTGCACAGCTCATCACCGTTGAAGACGATGTTTTTGCCTGGTCAGCAGCAAGGCTGTCCTTTACGAAAAATAGGACAGGGGCGTTAATAGAACAGGACTTTATTTGGGATATAGCTTAATCCCTAACCCTCCAGGTACCTACTATACGGGGCCCTAGGGGCTCTAGTACCCTATATAGCAGGGACCTGGGGCGGGGGTAGCTTAATGTTTTTGGCATGGTATTTCTATAACCCTCAACCCTAAACCCTAAACCCTAAAGCCTAAACCCTAAACCCTAATCCCTAAACCCTAAACCCTATATTCATTCAAGCCCATACACCCCGAACCCGAGGTTTCTTGGTAGGCGCCCTTTAAGGGTTTAGGGTTTAGGAGTTTAGGGGTTTAGTCCAGTCCTTCAAAGTCTGATGAGAAACCCTAAT